ATTATAATCCATAATTATGTACCCACTGGATGCAACGAATGCCTCATTTATAATGAGTTTTCATGTGTTTGAATCGTCGCTCCGGCCAGGCAGGGCATCATCACAGTATGGTAAGGGGCGTAACATTTCCGTCACAGGCTTGAGGTATTCGGCCAATCATAACGCACTGGATAGCTGGCCAATCACAGCACACCTCGGTTTTCAGACCGAAGAGCTTTGTAAAAATCGCGTTTCAGAAAGGCGGGGCATAGAGGAGAAACAATAATGTACAGTATGTGGAAAATAATGTGTTTTTTGAACTTTAAACCGCATAAACACATTTCATTACACCAAATACACAAAATAATGTTCTTTTTAGCAACATCATATGACCCCTTTAAATTAAATTATCAATTTAATATTTTTTATTAAATTAATACTAATATTAAATTGATTAAAGGTGTCAATAAATATATTTAAACTGTTAGAAAAAGATTTCAAATAAATTATGTTCTTTTGAACTTTCTATTCATCAAAAAAATTCCTAAAAAAGTATCATGGCAGCACAAGTGTTTTCAAAATTGATAATATTAAGAAATATTTCTTGAGCAGCTAATCAGCATATATGAAAGATTTCTGAAGGATCATGTGACACAGAAGACTGGAGTAATGATGCTGAAAATTCAGTTTTGCAATCACTGGAATAAATTACATTTAAAAAATATTAAAACATTTTACATCGTAATACTTACAATATTACTGCTTTTACTGTATTTTTGATCATAAGAGACTTCTTTCAAAAACACCTAACCAACCCAAGCTTATGGATGGTATAAAATATATTTACATATGATTTAATGTTGCATGACATTTCTAACAATTTATTAACTAATAACCTGTTAAAATGTATGTAATGTAATAAAGTCTGTGAATGTTATTAATGAAGAGTATGATAATGTGTCACCAGTTTCACCAATATTTCAGTATTGCATTAAATATTTTAAAGCACCTTACCTAACTTCTTGTTTGTTAAAGCTTGAAATATACATCCAAATACAATGTTTGAAAGGACACAAAGCAGTTTCAGTTTATCTATGAAAAACATAAATTATTATAGCCCAGTTTTAATCATTAAACTCATCTAAACACTCACATGTGTTGCCACTATTGTTTGAGGGCACAACCAGAAGTTCAGAACGCGGGTTCTTGATGATGTCCTGCCAGTGGATGGTGTCAGCGTGACACAGGAACTTATTCTGATCCACATACACACCTCCATTCAGGATTTCTACAACAGAGAAGAGGGAGAATTAGAAATCAAGAGCATTTCTGAATAAGTGACGACATTTCAGCCATTTAGCATACTTAACAGCATAAATAATGTTTAATAAACATTATGCGCATATAAAAGACATACAGTTCATTCGGAGGTCACCTTAAGGATATAACCCTGACTGCTCTATGAAACCAGTTTAAATGATTTATAAAAGAAGTGCAATGAAAATAATCTCTCTTTTTAGAACATGATTTAAAGGGGTCATATGATGCTTTTTTAAAGATCATTATTTTGTGTATTTGGTGTAACAGAATATGTTGACATGCTTTAATGTTCAAAAAACACACTATTTTTCAAATACTGTACAGTATTGTAGGTCCTCTATGCCCTGCCTCTCTCTCTCTCTCTCTCTCTCTCTCGCGTTCTCTCTCGCTCTCTCTCGCTCTTTCTCTCTCTCTCGCTCTCTCGCGTTCTCTCTCTCTTTCTGTCTCTCTCGCTCTCTCTCTCTTTCTCTCTCTCTCTCGCGCTCTCTCTCGCTCTCTCGTGCTATCTCTCTCTTTCTCTCTCTCTCTCTCTCGCTCGTGCACACACACACACGATGCGCAAAACTCCGCATTTGAACAGTGCTTCATAATCAACTAATGTAACTTTATAAGTTACGTGGCTGGACAGTTCTGCTAGAACATCTCAAATCTGCACAGTTGAACCTACACAACTGATTATATCAAACTATTAAACCTTTCGTCTTCAGTAAACTTGAATGTTTTCAATAGCTAAACCCACATAGAATGGATGATACAATTAATTAAAATGGACCTGCGCACTACAATCCTATTGCTAATATCAATAAAAAAATTATAATAATTTGTAAATATTTGTGAATGTATACACAGTATATACAGCTTGATTTTTTAAAGAAATCAATACATTTATTCAGCAAGGAAGAATTAAAATAATTAAAAGTTACAGTAAAGAGTGTTACAAAAAAAAAAAAAAATCAAATAAATACTGTTCTTTTTGCACTTTCTATTCATCAAAAAATCCTGAAAAAAGTATCATGTTTCCACAAAAATGTTAAGGAGCACAACTGTTTTCAACATTAATTAACCTCCTGAGACCCTGCATCCTCATATGAGGACATTATATTTTAGTGAATTTCTCTGAGACTATACATGCCACGGTTTTAAGTCTGGATGTCCTGTACAGAGCACATTCAGGGCTTTTCAGAGATACTAAATGTTTGGATGTTTAACCATGACCACTCCCTCTCCTTGGTCTTCAAAAATGTCTAATATTAATTTAGTGACACTCTTATGGAAATATGATAATATTTTGTAATTGTCATTTAAATCGGACTAATTTTTAAACTGTGTGTCATAAATCAACATCTCAGGAAAATGTAATGGGGTTTCAAATCCAAATATGACTTTCTGTTACGAAACAGGAGGTTGATTTCATAGATGTCCTCATATGAGGACACCGGGACTAAAAGCATGTTTATTATGCATTTTGGGAGACACAACAAATGAATAGGGAAACAAATTATATTTCAATATTCCTATGAAATATTATATATTATTATGAAAATCTTGTCAGTTATTACTCTCAATATTACACTTCTTTTTTCATTACATGTTGCCCCAAAAACACATTAATATGCAAATTAGATTTAGTTTATAATACATTATATATGAGAAAACCTGTTTGTGGCCATTTTACACACATTTTGCATGAAGAAAAATGGTATATCAAATAATTCCGTTATAACATAGTTGAGAATTATCTTTATACAAAGTTTGATAAAAAAAAATCCTGAAAACTAAAAATGTATTGATGATTTAAAAAAAATCAATTGTTTTTGCCTAGCATGTTCATTCATGTCTTTTTATTTTTTTAAAGAAATTGAGTCCCGATGTCCTCTACCGAGGACGTAGCATAACTTATGAATGAAATATATATTTTTTAATGCTCTAAACAATGTAATGACATCAAAAAAAAAAATTTTTTCCTAAAATGTTTTGCCGGGTCTTAAGAGGTTAATAATAAGTAACATTAATTAATAAAAGGAAATTATTCTTGAGCAGAAAATCAGTAGATCTGAATGATTTCTAAAGGATCAAGGGACACTGAAGACTCGAGTAATGATTCTGAAAATTCAGCTTTGGATCACAGGAATAAATTACATTTTAAAATATATTCAAAAAGAAAAGAGTAATTTTAAATACAGTAGTAATAATATTTGACAACATTACTGTGTTTTACCATAAAATTGATAATCTAAATTGCAGCCAGGGAGAGCATAAGATTAAATTAAAGTTGTATTATGCATGTTGTAGGGGTATAAGTTACTAATGTTTAGGGTACTGACCCAGCGACAAGCTAAAGGTCAATTTTTTTTTGCACATTTTTTTTTTGACAACGTATTGTTTAATATCTCAAAAAAACTAATTGACCAGCATTGTGAGATTAGCAGGTCTCAGAGCCCTCATCCCTGCATTCAAAATGAACCCAGCCATGATCAAGGGTATTTAAACATGACAATTTCACTTCCTTTGAGTGAAAGTTAAATATTTACATTTTCTTTCAGCACTTCCATAATGATGGAAGTGGAGTGTGCAGGGGGAAAGGTTGAGCCTGTGAATGGAACAACAGACCATATTAATACATTTTTAAAGTCACTTTTGACATTCACAGCTGGAAACCCAGCCTGCATGAGAAACACTTCAAGTCATTAACATCTCTTTGATGAATTCATCTGAACACAATTCCTTTGCTGAGAAGGCAGAGAAAATGCAGGAATCTCTTTAACAACAAATGTAATAAATCTATATTTAAATGAGAATGCTATAAATTTGAGAGAATAGGAAAGATAAAGTGGCTTTGAAGGGAAATTAAACGGGGAAAAAATTTGAGCTAATCAAAATGTCTAAAAAATATATTATTATGAAGTAATTTGAAGGGCACACATCGCACATACTGCGGTCCTTATCAACCAGAGAAATTGAGCAACATTATGGCACCCCTCTTAAAGGGTTAGTTCACCCAAAATGAATTTAATGCCACTCAGCAGGTGTTGCATTGCTTCAGTCCAAAAGAACTTAAATAAAAATCGCCCATCCATAAAAAAAAGTGTCTCACATGGCTCCGTGGGGCGAACAAAGGCCTTCTGTAGCGAATCGATGCGTTTTTGTAAGAAAAATATCCATATTCCAAACGTAATAGTCACTTTAATCTAGCTTGCACCAGCAGTTGTACACCGAAGCAGTTCTGGGAGCACAGGATCAAAGGAAGCAAAGTTTCCTTATTTTATCAAAGGAAAACCAGTCTCCGCTTGGCTTATATCGAAATCCTCTGACATTCTTCTTTACAAATCCTCGTTTTGTACTTCTAATTCTTGACCGTTGTTTTGTTTTGATCTCTCCCCTGCATTTCCGCGTGCGTCACTTCTGAGCGGCTCATGCGCAAAGTCGACCTCATACGTCATTCCCCCGGAACTGCCTCTGTTTACAACAGTGAGCGCAAGCTAGATTCAAGTGATTATTATACTTTTTTTATGGATGGCGATTTTTATCTAAGTTCTTTTGGACTGAAGTAATGCAACACCCACTTGCGGAGTGGCAGCTTGAAAAGATCAAAACAGCTTGAAAGATCAAAGACAATTCAGTCTGCCTCCATCTGTAAACATAACTCAATTTAATTGCACAAATACACTGTGAGTCAAAGCTGAGCACAGTGCACGATTTCTATATCAACTGAAAATCACAGACAAATATATAAAAATAAATATATAAGCCAGTACAAACAACAAGCTGTTAACTTGGTTGTAAGTATGAAAAATACACTTTGAAATACTGTAATCACTGACAAGCATTATATTGTAGAGAATGATTGAAGCAAATGTTTATTTATCATATTCTATTCTTTTTTTAACAGCAATACTGAAATATCGTTAAAGCTGGTAACACATTATCATAATGTTCACCAACAAACTTTATTACACTATAAAATTCTTAAGAAGTTATCAGTTAATGTACATTGAAATGTCTAGAAATGTCATGCAACTTTCGAGGTTGGTAAGATATTTTTCGACAGAAGTATGATCAAAAATATAGTAAAAACATATATTTTATTTGATTAAATGTAAAATATTTTACCATTGCTTCAACAGAATATAACAGAACAGAACAGAATAGAATAGAAATGATCATTAATTTTGACTGTTGCATATAATTTACCGGGTATTTTAATGCAAAAAAAAAAACAAAATTAGAAATTAAAAAACAAGCATAAATTGTATCCCCGTTTAAATGAAAGTGCAGCTATGCCATAACAAATTAATGTCTATAAGACAGAAGACAAGCAAAAAATATCGTTCATTAACTCAGTTCAAATTGAGGAACTTTCATTGTCAGACTATTAAAATAAAATATGCACCTCATATTGATTTTATTATTTATTTGTTTGACACAAAACACAATAATTTTGTATATAAGAAGGGGAATTTAATATTAAAGCCAAAGTAAAACTGTCAAAACCAGTAACATTTGAGAAATAATACTCATTTCATTCTGTCTGTGTCCATTTTTACATGGACAAATCGTCTCCAAATGGCAGATTACAATCAGTAATATGCAAATGAGGCTGGAAAATCTAGATAGGCCACCAGTGCAGATATGAAGAAAAGAAACCAGGTAATTAACAGGAACAGGCATTCATTTAAAACCTTAAAAACACTTTAGATCTCCTTTTTTGCTAATCGTTACATCATCATCATCATCTGTTTTCTCTAGAACCTGCATTAATCATGAATATATTAAAACAAATATAATCATTCATATGTAAAAAAATAAAAATAAAAATATAAATAATAATCATTTTTATATTAAACAAAATACTTGGGAAAAAAATCACATGAAGTAAAAAAAAATCTATGATCAGTATTGTCTAAATTAGATATGAAATATAATGTTTCAAAGAAATTTGAACATTTCAGTCAGTGCATGATCAATTAA